TCATACTTATATATATATATATATATATATATATATATATAGATAGATAGATAGATAGATAGATAGATAGATAGATAGATAGATAGATAGATAGATAGAGAGAGAGAAAGGAAGGATACACTTATTCTAAAAATAAATTTAAGTAGATTTATTTTACTTAATAATTTAATTATAGATCAATTTTCAATAATCTAATAATTAAATTAAAAGTTTCTAAGGCGAGATTAAGTTTGTAAATTTTTTAGAAATTTAAAATTATCTAATACTTTGTTTCGTTAATTCAAATTGAAGAACAATCATAAGAATATTTTTATGTATTAATTTAAATTTATATAATGAAGTATAATATAATTTTCATATTTTTAAAAAAATTGTAGACTTAATTTATGTATTAAGAACTTTTAATTCAATGGTTGAATTATTGAGATTTGATGTAGCTATATCAAAATTTAACAATTTAACCATTAAATTAAAAATTTTGAATGTATAAATTAATATTACAAGTTTTTTTTAAGAAAATTTAAAAATTATTTGATACTCAATTTCATTAATTCAAATTAACATATAAAATAATTTTATAATTATCCGTCAATTTGAATAAAGAAATGGAGTATAAAATAGTTTTTCAAATTTTCAAAAACTTTCCAACACACACAAAATAGTTTATTAGCTCAATTGTAACAGTGAAAGTGACAATTCTCGTAAAAAAATATTTTATTAATAGTATGTTTGGATGAGGAGTTTAAATGGAGTAATTCATTTATTTGAAGAATTTTAAATTCTTTGATGTTAAATATCTTGTTTGGATGGAGAATTTATAAAGAATTTGAAATTCAAATATTTGTGAAATTTCTTGAAATAGTAGAATTTCAAATTCTCCCAAAAAAGTAAGAATTTGAAATTTCTCATATTTTTTCTTCTTACTACACTTATATATTTTATCTTATCTCTTATTTCTTCATGTTTTTAATTATTAAATATTCAAAAATATTTTTAAAATTATTAAATATTATCTAATATTAATTTTTAAAATTATTAAATATTTAAAATTAGTTAATATTTATTTTTATAAAATTTAATTTAAAATCTCAATATATAAATATATTTTTAAAATCTATTTTACCATGATAGAATCAAATTATCACATCCAACCTAATAATTTAAATTTAAATTTGAATTAATTTATCCAAAAAAATATTTTTAAAATAGTAAAAATTAAAATCAAAATAATTCAAATATCAATAATTTAAAAATCCTTGAATTTAAAAAATTTATCATCCAAACACACTATAAAGCTTCAATCAACACACACAATAGTTTATTAGCTCAATTGTAACCGGGAAAGTGACAATTCTTGTAAAAATACTCTAAGGCTTCAATCAATGTTAAAATAAGTAGAGTAGCAGTATATGAAAAAAAAAAAATGAAGTGATATGTACTTACCAATTACCATATGCCTCTACATGTGGTTTAGATGTGAGTGAATCATCTTTGAAACACTTGAGTAAGATCACTAGCAAATCTTATAAGATGAGAAAGTTTTCAATGGAAAAATATTTCCGAGAACCTCTATATATAGGGAACACAACGGGTTAAAGGAAGAATAGTTTAACTTTGAACAACTCCTCAACTCTACTGAGTTGGAACTAACAATCTAGACCTATAACTATGACATACATATGTATAGCCTACCTTTCTTTTTCTCTCTCAGTTTTTAGTCATTATCTAACTAGCATGAAAGAAGGATGAAATTTTCGGTGCTGATGAGGAAGATTATAGAAAAGTTAAAATTATAGATATCGATGAATATAAACTAATCCAAATTTAAAAAATTAGATTGTTTTAAATTATTAGTTTGAATTTGATTGAAAAAGAATACAAATCCAATAAATTCATACTAGATTATAAATTTAGATGACAAAAATCTGATTCAATTTAACTCACTACTAGAATTTCTCTTATTACATGCAAAATTTTTCTGCGAAATTTTATCTGTAGGTAATATCTTCGTAGATAATATATTTTTGCGATTTTAAAATTCGTAGGAAATTTTCCTGCGAATTTTTTTGCGAAAAAAATTCGCAGGAAAGTTTCCTGCCAAAAAAATTCTACAGGAATATTTTTTATGAAAAAATTAAAGAAATTACTATAAATTCTATCAATAATTCTTCAACTTTCAAATGCTCACAATGAATTCATCCAAAGCATTTATTTTCATGCTTCCAACATGTGATACATAATCTTTTAAATTCTAAGATTGTAGATTATAAGCCTAACACTCAACCATACAAATCAACTTGTAAGGTAAGTGTTGCCCCAACTTATATACTTTTTAATTGTTTTATTTTCAATCGATGTGAAACTTGAAGTTTTTTTTTTTAAATATTAAACTTAGAAATTTAAATATTTTTTTTTTAGTTTTTCTTGCGGATTAAAATTTGCAAGAAAATTCGCAAGAAAAGTTACCTACAAAATTTTTTACCATTTAGTAAACATTACTTGTGAATTTATTTTTGTAAGAAAATCTGCAAGAAATAAAATAAAATTCTTACAATATTTTCTGTAAATTTTTACTGTGGAAAAAAATTTCTATGATCACTAAAATTGTAGCAAAATTTATAAGAAATATCTGTAAATTATTTTTCGCAAATAAATTTGCAAAAAATTTCTGCGAATATTTTTTTACAGGAAATTTCACAAAACATTTCTGCGAATATATTTTTGCAGAAAAATTCACAGGAAAATGACACTTTTCTAGTAACTCAACTAATCATTATTATACATTATTATTTTTTTAAAAAAAAATTATCGTTAAAAAGTTTAGAGTTTGAACTAAAATTAATGTCAGTCAAACTTTTTATTTATTTTTAATATTATAACACTTCATCTGCACTCTACAGTATATATAGGCTTTTTTAATCTTACATTTTTATTTTTCCTTCAACTTTTAGGATTGTTGTTTAAGTGTGCTACAACTTTTCATATCGCATGAGAATTAATGTATACTAATTTATTTTTTAACTTTTGATTTTAAAATTTTATTTTATAAATAATAAATTCGATGATCCAATTCAAATCAATTTAATTATAATTAATTAGATTAGTTTGGTTTTAAATTACAATTGTTTTTTTTTAAATCAATCCAAACTAATCCAATTGAATTTAATCAAATCAAACAAAAAATACTGCAAAATTTAATCCAAATGCATCCGTACCCACTTTAATTAAAACCCACCACGGAACGGAATCAACTTCCAAGGATCCTTACTTAAATTATGATAAATTCTTGATATCAAACTCAGAACGGTTACGATTACGATTACGAATGGTTGTGATGGGTTTTTCATGTCTCCTAATTCTTAGGTTTTTATTTTATTTTTTATTTTCTAGTTGAGAAGTAATGTTGTTTTGGTTAGCACATCATTTGTTATCACCCTTTGTAAATAAAACGTGTCGGGGTAACTCTTTTATTGTGTAGGAGAGGATACGAGAAGTGGTTACCTTAGCAAATCAGAAATTAAAGAGAGAGCTTTCAATGTGGACTGCGAAGTACGTATTAATATAACAATATGTCTGGTGGGTTTGAACGATATTAAATGTGGCTATAGAGACTTTGTAACAGGACATATCCCTCGTGATGGAAGATTGTTCACCAAAATTTTGTTATATTATTGACATTTACTCATTTCAATTATTTTTTAAAACTTCACGTGTATAACATATAGATTAATAGACAAGATTAATCTAAAATTTTCATTTATATACGTTCATAGTATATATAAATCAAATCGTTAATTGTTCAAATAAAAAAAATCGTTAATTTACACCACAAAAAAAAAATGAACTAGTAATTAAATTTAGCGACAAAAATTATTTTTTCTTGACTACTACGTAGTGTGACAATTTTTTTTTTTAAATGCATGTAAATCATTTTATATATAACTAATTTTAATTTCTTAACAATGGGGTTATTGGTCTTGACTATAACTTGGTGGCTTAGAAAATAAAGTCTTAACTTTTTCGTTGTAGTTATCAAAGCCAATGTCTGTATCTCTACCTTCTAGTACTTCTATTTGACATCTTACACTACTTGGATGATATAATAAATTGAGACCTGTCCCCCTTATCTTTCTTGGGCAATCATGATGCTGATAGACTCATTAGAGGTGGATAGGTATAAGAGGATTGGTAGTTCTCGATTAAGTTTTACTAAGATAGGAGGAGTCAACAATGTGCCTTTCAAATCCTAGAAAGCTACCTCACATTCATGTGTCCACTCAAATGCTTTCTTTCTTTTTTTTTTTTTTTTAAAAAGGGAACATTGGTTTACCTTCTTAGCCAAACAAGGCCAAAACATAGGGGAGAGGGAGAGAGAGAGAGAGATTAGACTCCCAGTGAGTCATTGAACTTCCTTTAGGTTGATCGGGATCTTCATATTGATAATTGCTTAACATTTATCTAGGTTGGCTTCAATTCCACTTGCGGTTAACATGAAGCCTAGAAACTTTCCTCCACCTATGTTGAAGACACATTTTTTTTCAAGATTTAAATGCATGTTATACTATCTTACCTCAGAGAATACCTCGACAATAGTCATATGCTCAACCATGCTACTAGACTTGACAATCATATCATCCATGTATAACTCTAAGTTTCTCCCAATTTGTTTATGGAAGACCTTATATATCCATCAATTGTTGGTATCTTGTTCTCATGTTCTTCAACCCAAATGACATCACACGGTTACAAAAACTAGCTTTTTTATGATGAACACAATTTTTACCTTGTTAGGAGGGTACATGCGAATTTGATTATACCCCTAATAGGCATCCAAAAACCTCAGAACTTGGTGCCTTACTGCCCCATCCAACAGTCTATCAATAGTTGGCAAGGGATAAATATCCTTGGGGCAAGCTTTGTTGATGAGGTTCATATAGTCCACATATATTATCCACTTATCATTGCTCTTTTTCACCAAAACAACATTGGCAGGTCAAATCATGTATTGAACTTTTTGTATGAACCTGACCTTCAACAACTTAGACACCTTGGCCTTCACATCAATTCTCCTTTCTTCACCCATCTTCCTCTTCCTTTAGGCTATCGGTTAGGCCTTGTGATAAATGAACAAGTAGTGGCAATGGAAAGATGGATTTATGCCAAACATGTCAAATTTTGACCATGCGAACAAATTAGCATTCTCCTTCAAAGTTTTGACTAACAAAGTTTTGACCTCTGACTCTATCTACATACCAATGTTAGTACATTGCACCTTTATCTTTCTTAACTGAAATTTCTTAATCTCCTTAGCTGATTCCATTGAGCTTCATCCTTGATCCTCAAATCTAATTCTACCATGTTTACATGTTTCTCCCTTGTCGAGGAGATGTGCTTGGCTACTTGTCGCAACCCGAAAATTTCCGATCTCGCGACGTATG